CACAACAGGTTTACATGAGGCTTCGTTGGTAAAGGTTTCAGCACAGAACCACGTCCTGGCTCTACGTTACTAAACAGTCCGACCATGAATCTGAATGTTATCTGCTTTAAGGGAATCGTGTTTTTCCTTCTTTTCTGTTCTGGGAGATGTTCTGAGCAGAAACCAACTCACCTGGAAACATGGAACCTGAAAGACCAGATGACTGAAGTGTTTGAACGCTAAACAGAGCTGAAGGCAGGAGAGCTCCGACGTGTTTGTTTCTGACAAACAGAAGACGTTTCTGTGTTTCCTTATTTCTGACTAAAACAAAGACGCTCAGTTCACAGAGAAAAGCATCAAATCGTCACATTTCAGACGCACGAAACCAGCAAACGTTTCCAGACTGCGCTTAATAACGACGTTTCTATGCTGCTGCAACACGTTTTCCATCAGTTGTTGTTCTTCCCTCTCAGAGTTATTTCTGTTAACCGTCTGTTAGTCTTAGATAATGATTTATTGCCTTATTTAATGCGGCTGCTGAGGCTGTTTGGCCCCCTGGTGTTCATCCACAGTCCCGGCTGACTTTTTATTTCCGTCTGTTCACATCAGTTGAAATGATTGTTCCACGTTCCCCTCAGAACCTGTAAATGCTCCTCTGGTTGGGAAGCAGCTTCATAAAACACGCTCTGCTTTCACATCCACATCCCCTCTTCTTGGCTAAATTGCTCTCAGAGTGTTTATTGCAGCCCGATGTGGCGCAGATCAAATAAAACTGCACGATTTGGTTCTTCCAACAATAGCTGCATTCACAGCTCCGTAATAAAGTTTGTACAAATATGCAAACATTTGCCATCTTGGCTGTGAAACAACAGAATTTTTTTCTATTTCGTACAGTTTCCCACCGTTGTAGTTGTGATGTTGTCAGATTCCAGAACATCTCCCCGACACGGTTATTAAAAGAGGTATTTACTGCCGCATTTTATGGTGAATTTTATAATACAGAAGCTTTTTTACCTGCCATAAAGGTCGATATACAACATCTGGAAGTGTTGTCGTATGAAATGATGGCAGATGTGGAGAGCTGAGGCCGTTCTGAAGTAAAACAAGATGCAACACGTGTCTGGTTCAACGAAGAGAAGAGCTGGAAAGTAAAGTTGTCCTGAAAAAGCCTCGTAAGACTTATTACCTGACTACTGCTGCAACGATCGATCACATAGTTGTCCGGGATTAGGTCAACCGCCAACTGTTCTGATGAGATGATTAATCAGTTGGAGTATTTAAAAAAAACAAATATTGAAAACCGTCTAAATTCTGTGACTGTTTTCTGGTTTCTTTCCTCCTCTGTGACAGTAAACTTTAGAATGAACCTTCATCAAACCAAACTCCATTCAAAAAAGGTCCAACTTAAAGTCTGGCAGAGAGCGTTTATATATTCATCATGATTTTTAGCTCCGATTTGGTCGCCTCCTGCAGATTTTAGAATCGGGATGAATTTCTGTCAAATCGGTTGTTAGCTGTTTTCATAATCAATTAATCAGTTCTAGTGTTTTTAAAAATAAAAACAGTCTAAATTCTGTGATTACAGCTTCTTAAACATGAATATTTTCTGGTTTCTTTCCTCCTTTATGATGGCAAACTCAACATATTTGGACAAAACAAGACGCACTGATCCACATTTTTCTCCACCGACCAAATAGCTGATCAGCTATTCCAGGAAACAGAGTAAATAAATTAAACAGTTAAAAATTCTTTGATTGCAGCTTCTTAAATGTGAATA